GTGGCTCAAACTGTTATTATTACTTTTAAAAAACAATGTATTGTATGAATACCAAATGTATTTCTTGGAGTTACTTAATGTCTCCCATTAATTGTGGAGATTCTGAATTCGTTGCCTTCATCATAAAGCTATTTATTTCACTGGAAATATCTGGCTTTTCATTCAGTATGAAGCACTCAGATACAACCTCATGTGACATTAAAGTCACTGCACCTTATCTCTCAGCATCGTTAAAATAAGGAATAAAGTACTTATCTCTGCTTAAAAATGCAAAGAAAAATGATTCAGCTGCAATATTGTCTCCTCTGTAGAAAGGATTTTGGGGTGACTGATCTTTTTTAAGAACAGCAAAATGCAAAACAATATTGTATTGAAAAAATAACAAGTACCTTTACCTTTTTTAAAATCCAAATGCATGAATTCTGATTATTCCTTTCCCCCCCCTCACTTCTTTGCACCTAAAGAATCTCTTTAGCAAAACCAGTAACAGACCGAAGGGTGCAACCAGTCTATAAAGCTCAGATGGGGTGAAAAATCGAATTTTGAAACTTTGCAAACAAGTTGCTCTGAGCCAATTTTCCCACAGCTGAATATATGCTCTTTTCTTTTCTCATTTCCCACAGGTAGTTACGGCACTGGCAATCTGAAGTATTTCATAAATAACTTGCTGGTATTCAGCATGTTGCTTTATTTCCTCTCCTATAATTGAGTTGTGCTGGTTTGACATTTTGATTCAGCATTGTAAAAAGAGCAGACTCAATTTACGGAAATTTCTGTGGTTGATGCATTTAGGAAAAAATACTGATTCAATTTTGCAGTGCATTCATTAAGGGAAATGTACTTACCTTACATTTGTTTGCAGAACCAAGTAGTCATTCATCAGGAACAAGAGGAACATCTCACTCTCCTCCCTGGAGTAAGTCACAACTTTGGGCAGGGACAGTTCTGACCTGAGCCCTGGTTTTCAGAAGGTCCCATGGCTATTTGAAAGCCATCTGCAGAGGCATTTTGGTACTCTCTTGACCCTACATCAACATCTGAAGGGTTTCCATCTGCTACACACTGTGTGAAATAAGGGGGAGAACATGGAGGCAGAGATAATGACAAAGGACCATGTCATTGCAAGGTGTTATCTGTGGAATCCAGATTATCATAGTAAACATGAGAACTGACAACATGTGGTGTTCATCAGCCAGCTGCCCGGTCTCCCCTGCTGCTTCCCTCTAATCCTGGGGGCAAGCCCTGGGTCTTGCTTCTGCACATCCTTTTGAAGTTGATACAGATTTTGCCTGAATGAGGGCTCAGGAGGCTCAGGATGCTGTCCCATCAACACCTCCATGCCCCTGTGCAGAAGTCCATCCACAGCCAACAAAAGCTCCCAAAACCTCTAGGTGACACTGCTTGACCCAGCTGGTGTAATGCTCAGCCGTTAATGGAGCAGAGAAAAAAATCACGGTCCTTAATACCATATTGCCACCAGCTTCTTTTTAACAAGAGGGAAAGGGAAGCTGTGGTTTCATAAGATACTCTTCAGTGAGAGTACCCTGAAACATAAGCTGCAAAAAAAGTGCTTTTAAGCAGCTCTTTGTACTTACACTGTTTCCACTAATCAATTTCAACACAAAGTGTTGCTGTTGCCATCAAAAGGTACTCTTCTGTATATAAAGCAAGAATCTTCAACAGTTTTTCTAAAGGATGTGGATTGGAAAAAGCATAGGAATAATGGAGAAGACTAAAAAGATGGTTTTTTTAAGTAGCAACTGTGTAACATACCTAAAATCTAAATTTTAGTATACTGGTCAGAGGCTTACGGAGTCAGAGATACCTGGATAGATTCTTCCCATACAAAGGCATTTTACACAAATGTGCTACAAAGACACACATATATATATAAAAATCAATTATCTCTACCTGTAGACCACACTCTCATGGTCACGAAGGAACAACAGAATAACAGAAAAAGGAAGCTAAGTGCAATAATCCTGTTGACCACTAGAAACCAGCACTCTGTTTCCAAGGATTTACTCCAGAAAGGAATAGTGGTTGGGAACTTGGACATATCCTGGTGTTGGTGGTTGTTCAAATCAAGTTTTCAATTTTTTCAATTTCTCAGTGTAGCAAAGATTTCTTTTTTGAACCAGAAATAGCTTCATATGGCTAGGAACTGCCTCTCCAAAAACCTGTCCATTGCAGAATTCTCTCATCCTCTGCTTTTAATGCAATATATTAATGGATCTTTATCCAACTAGTCAGTATCTGTTAAAATATGAAGTCTATTTATATATTTTTCTTAACTTTCTAAACTTCTAAAGAGATGGCTAAGAAAAGAACAAGTAGATCTTCCATAGACACCTACCTACTGATGACTCCTCTGACCTTGTAGCTATAATCACTTCTAAATCTATTTAGCAAAATTTTAAATTCCTTACCTCAAACTAAGAGAGACGGGATTTCTGCTTCATGCTAACAGATGAAAACTTAAAAGCTTCTCATTTGCATTCCTAGGAAGTAGCTGAATCTTTATGCTTTTCCTGCCTCATCTTTTCCAAAACTTGAAGGATGGAACAATCTTGAGGATCTCTAGCATTTGTCACATTAGGAAAACAATTAAAACAGACATTGTTTTCATTCAGTAAAACTGTGACTTTTCTTTGGTCTTTCTTCCATAATTTAGAAATTGCAAAGAACAAAGCTTTCAGGAATTATACTTAAAGAAGGTGATTAATTATGCAAGTCATTAAGTATTTGATTGATATTGTGGGACCATTGATTAGGTATTTTCTACTTAGACCCGAAGTCGGATTAAAGATTACAAGTGAATAGCTAGTTATTAATATGGAAATGTCTAGAGAATGGTAGGGATGAGAAAGGTAGATCACTTTGGAGTAAGCTGCCACTTCTGCCAGTGTGACTCCAAAGAAAGATGCAGCCAGTCCCAGAACTACCAGTGGGACCCAGCCAGCCTGGTCCCAATGAAATCAACCAGTGGCTGCTGATATCTATAAATGTACAGAGACAAAGCACATTTTCTACATCCCACAGTCCATGAGGCCTATCACATACTACTACACAATTCTTCTCCCATTTTTATTTTGCCCTTATGATTAGAAAAATTCCTCAAATTTTAAAACCAATAAAAAATGCTCATAACAACTCCTGTGAGTTTTATTAGCTTCTGTATGGCTGATGGTAGCAGAACAGCCCTGATTTTGCTTTACTATGGTCATTTAAACAACTTAAGCTTAAAATGTTCCCAGGGCAAAAGTTAGGGCTATGCCTAACAAGTACATTAAGCCTTATTATGTCTATTAAGCACATGGAGCCACCCTTGTTGCAACCGCACATTATGTTTGAAAGCTGTTATGGGCAGCATACTGAATTCCCTAATCAAACCAGCATGGGAGGTACTTTGTTGTGACATTTAGAAACCCTCAATTACAAAGTCACCAGCTAAAAGGGCAAAAAAATAGATTTTTCTAACACAGTACCAGAAAACAAAAACAGGCATTGGACGTAGGCAAAGAACTGGAAGCATTTTTTTGCATTCTGGTTTTACTTTTCTTCTGTTACTTTGGTATCTTAAGATACTCAAAATGAATAAAAAGCCCAATATCCGAGGAAAAATAACCTCATGACTTGAGGAATAAAACATTTACAAATTGCCCAAAAATCAAAGCTATTTTGATCTGCAACATTCAAAATAGAATAGAGTATCTTTTATTACTATAAAATTTAAAAAATACAAAAGTGCTGGTTCAAGTTTGTATGAAGTTGAAATAACTCAAATCCTCTTTTTTTCATGTTCTGTAAGTCTCTTACCGGTGATTTAAAATGAAGGATATGCTTCCAGAATGTGCATCTCAGGGCTGGAATCCTCAAAGAAAACCAGATGGCAAAAATCATAAGTCTTTTTCCTTTCTGTGCTTTGACAGTCCCAATCAGAGAAGTTATGAGGCTGGAAGATCAGGTTTATGTTCTATTGTTATAAAAAAAATACTCTCTTTGTGCATTCAATGTGGTTTTAATTTTCTAGAAGTCCACAGCAGCAAATGCCAGTTTAGTGAGATAGTACATGCAAACAGTTCTAGAAAGTACATACACCACATTCTCTATTTCTTTTGGAGGCACGAGTGTATTTTTTCACACAAGTAATGTGACTTAAGAGTAGCTCAGACTAGAAACACTTGGAGTTTTTTGATGTGTTATACCAGATAGCTATAGATAATTTTAAATTTCAAGCACTATCACACACAAAGATGTCACTCCCAAAAAGTAGACAAGGACCTGGTCTTAAAAAGTTGAAGCATAACTGACATGGTAGGTAACTATTTTAGGCTTTACCTGCAAATGGAAGATATAATCTGTCTACTGCCTTCACATAAACAGCATGGTTAAATATTTCAGAAATTCTTTTGATCACTGATCTTAAAGAACCCTCACAAGATAGAAAGAAATCATTACCATTAATGTTCATGATTTGGAGGCTAAAAGCTTGAAAGACTTGAAAGCTCAAATAGGATGGCTAAGATTATGTTGGTTGTTCCTAATGACTTCTGGGGAAATAAAATGTGTGATTAGAGCTGAAGGAAGTTCAACACTTCACAAATTAGTGCTCCAAACCAGAATACTACTGGAAAATTTTTTAAGTTTGCTTCAAAATAAATATTCCAAGATATTTTGATGTAGGACCTGCAAAAGATTTGTGGATGTTTATTTCAATTCATTTCAGTGTTTACTGTTTCCTATGAAAACAGCTATTGAAATCAAAACTTCCCTACAAAAATTCACTTTCTACTAACTTCACTTTTTTGTTGGAAAATTCTCCCATCAAAATAATTTTAAGATCTGTGAGAATCTTCTGAGGAAACAAAGGTGGAGGAAAATGATAAATTAAGAAAAATACAACACAAACAAATGTCAGACTTTATTAAGGTACTGCATTCACATATGTTTGCGCACCCAACAATCACATTTGGCTAAAGACAACAATATTTGTGGTGTGAAGACACCACGTTAAGATGGCACACAGGCAAAGCTTGAAATAAGGCTTGGTCAACATGGTGTGCCAAATTCTGCTCTGCTTGACAACTGTGTTATCTCATTAGAATTACATGGGATAAAGACAACAATTTGCATGAAAATGACTAGCAGCAGTAGCTGATATGTGCAAATCAAAATATACTACTTCTCAGTACAGTAACCATACACAAATACATATCCCAGCGCAGCTTCAGATTGGCCTATTATTATCCATAGTGGTTGTAATAGCCAGGAAACACCTCTGGAAGTGTGAGTCAGGTTCTTGTAGCTCACAGTCACAGTTCATCCTTGTGGCTCAGGAAATCTCTTGAAGCCACTTGGCTTTATCAACAACTTGTCTCAGTGGAGGCCTTGTGAAGGATGCAGCTCTGTATCTGCAAAATACCAAACACAGTTAAGAATTAGACTGAATGGGGGAAGATTTTTGTCCTCTGCTGCACAGCAGAGTTGATAAGGAGATCCTACAAACAAAGGCAGAACAAACCACCCAGCTCAATGCATTTCACTGGGATTACTTCTTTCCAAGCATCTCATTATAGTCCTAACCTTTATCACATGAAGAATTACACCTCTGAAGGGCATCACTACAGCTATGAAAAACTAAATGACTTCTCTGGGGATGCATGTGGATGGGTAGATCTGCTGTTGCTCCTCTGCTGTGCAAGTGAGGATTTCACCTTCCATCTGATAAAGGCTCAAGGCACAATGGTGCTATAACAAAACATAAAAGGCTTAGCAGATACAGAGTCATTCATCTAACATTTCTATGTACTGTCTCTTGGAAATTGCACCACCAATACCTACATTAAACCGTGCTTTTTTTTTTTTTTTGAGATAAACATACTCACAATGTATGCCTTTAATCCTGAACGATACCAAAATATATTCCAAACTACACTTGAAGAAATCAGGACGTCTATACAAAGAAATTACTCTACCACTCATTAGAACAGGATTGCTTCCGAGGTGAAGCACAACAGCTGTTGGTACAGCTGGGTGTAGAAGCAGATGTTTGTCTGAATAGGCAAAAAGCAATGGACATGCACTGAAGTCTGGCCAGAAAATCTCAGCTAATTCAGCTACTTACAGAAGTTCTGAAGTATGAAATCTTGGATTTCAAGGCAGAGGGCAACTAGCAGCAAAGAGCATCCTAACCAGCAAAGAACGTCAATTCAATACTGGTTCATTGAGAATAACGATGCTTATCTGAGTTACCAGTGATACTTTTTGTAGATTCTAGATTTTATTCTGCTTAAGGCTCTGAGGATGGTTATACATTCCTGACCAACTTAAATCAAAATGTACGAGACATATGTATAAAGTTAGATTTGTACTCTCCCCTAGTATTGCCATATGGTTGACAGCAGGCCCAATATGAGTCAGCAGTGTACCCTGGCAGCCCAGTGGGCAAGCCAGATCTTGCAGTATGTTAAACACAGTATAACCAACCAGTCAAAAGAGGTGATTATCCTGCTGTATTTAGCCTTGGTGCATCCTCATCTTGAGAACTGTGTGCAGTTCTAGGCCTTACAATTTAAGAAAGATGTTAAGGTGCTCAAATGTGTCCAGAGGAGGGCAACAAAGCTGGTGAAAGGGCTGGAAAGCATGTCCTATGAGGACTGTCTAGTTTGGGCTTGTCTAGTTTGGAGAAAAAGAGGCTGAGGGGCAACCTCATTGCTCTCTACAGCTTCCTGAGGAGGGGAGGTGGGGAGGGAGGTGCTGAGTGCTTCTCCCTGGTATCCAGTGTTGGGACACATGGGAATGATTCAAAGATGTGCTGGGGGAGGTTTAGACTGGACATTAGTCAGTGTTTAAGAGGCATTTGGACAATGCCCTTAATAATTTGCTTTAACTTTTGGTCAGCCCTGAAGCAGTCGGGCAGTTGGACTAGATGATCATTGTAGATCCCCTCCAACTGAAATATTCTATTCTATCCCCACATACAGCATTTCTGATTAAATATCAGATCAGAAGGGAGCTCAGATGTTCCTGTTATGGCCATCACTTTTTCTCCAGACTAGGGGACAGACCCACACACAGCCTGACACAGCACCCAAGACTGTCTCTACTCAGAGCAGCTTGATAGACATTTCCTTCCCAGACCTGGACAGTCTTGCAAAAAAACAGGGGCTGCTGGTGCGGCTTAAGGGATACCTGGGGCTAAGACACAGTGCCCCACACACTAAGGCTGTAAAGATCCTTCCTCTATCTCACTTTTGACAATTGTGAGTTTAGCCTGTTCAGGATGCCCTTGGAAAAAAATCCCACAAGTTGCCTCATTGGCTGGTCCAGTACTACTTCTACCCTTATAGGTTGGAAGAATTTTTATTACTAAATCTGGATCCACTTCAATGTGAAATTCAGCACATAACTTACCCTGCCTGCCACAGACATGGAAAATAATCACTGTCCTCTATTCTACATAACTGAACACTGTCACTCATCTTTTCTTTCCTAGATTTAAGCCAGCTTAAGACTGTTCTACCGTTCCAAAATCTTCATAATTTTCTCAGTTTTCTCTCTTCTCCAGTATATCAACACCTAAGAGCATTATTGTCACAGAGGCACTGCCACCACTAACTGGAGCAAATTATTACCTTACATCCTATATATAGTTCCCCTCTTTAGTATGTCAGACTAAAAGAAGAGCCCAGAACACTAATACTCTGTTTATGGCATACTGTAAATCCCCAGGTATTTTTTTCCCCACACTACTTAGTTATTTTCCCTTAGGTATATTTGAGGATTTGATTTCTCCTTTTTAAATACAGTACTTTGCTTTTATCTTTATTATATTTCACTTTTTTGATTTCAGACCATTTGTCCAGGGCACTGAGATAATTCTGAAAGGTAGTTTTATCCCCAGAGTCTTGCAGCATTTCCCAGGGTAGTGTCATCCATAAATTTTATACATATGCTCTTTAGTCCTTCAGCCAAGCTCTTACTACTCAACTGGGATAGAGTACCAAGACATCCTTCCCTCCAAAAATGTGTTTGAGAATGATCCACTGAGTACTTCTCTGACTGCATCTTCATAAAGACCTGTAGTCATAGCTGCTTGTTCCCACTTATCTGACAGGCAAAATTACCTTAACAAAGAGAGAAATTAGACTGATTTGGCATGATTTCTCGTCATGAAAGATTTCATGATTTTTCTTGTGCCTAACTCGATTGTTTAATAATTTGATATATTATCACTCCAAGTTAACAGCGATGCCTCCAGCTGCCTAGTTCCTCTCCTTTCCCTTCTTAAAGCCAAGAGCTGTGTTTGCCCTTTTGCTGGAAAAGAGCATGCAAACAAACTTGAATTGTATGCTGAACTACGTAAGTTGCAAGGGTGTAGGGGGTCCTGTTCCTAAATAAAACCCGGTGAATTTGGCAGAGGAAGTATGCATGCTAAATCAAATCTAATTGCCACGTGTAGCTTTCTCACAGCAGGGGAAGGTTTGCAGCCACTGATGGACTCTCTGGCTTATCACTGCACTGTGAAGTGGCTCCTCATAACAGGTGAGGGCATGAAATCTACAACAAGCAGACAACATGAAAAGCAGAGGACAAAAAACAATTAGACACCTGAAATTTCTACCAACACTTAACCAGATTATCTGTTGAAGTTCAGAAAAGATCCTTGCCTCCATTTTCATTTTCACAGAAAGTTCCCAGCTTTTCCATTCTGGATCTGGAAGCAAAAAGACTCACAGTCTAAGGGCATAGTTTTCCTAGTTTCAGCCCAAAAAGAGGTCTCAAGGATTTTGAGTCTTCATGATAATGCCAGCCTCATTTTGCCAACAAAAAAGAATTGGATAATTCATCTACAAAAAAAACCTTCTAAATTTTTTGGTGCTTATATAATGTGTGCATTCAAACCCTATAAAAAAGTCCTTTGCAGCTGGCCTTTCAATTCTCTCCTTGTTTCTCTCTTCCTGTAAGCAACAGTGGTTAGCAGGCTACACTTCAGGGCACTCCATAAACATTAGTCTCTGTAACACGGTGGAAGGCAGGCAAACTGAAGCATGAGGAAATAAGAGGCTCATGGCCTTCAGAAAGCACTGCCACATTTACAGTCCTGAACTGAGGTCTCATCTCAGTACTTAGCGCCTGCTTCAGATATTTTTGAATTTTCTCACTACAGACGGCTTTCTGACTGCAGGATCCTTTTTAGTCTTCCCATGGCATTTTTCTCCCACAAGCCGTTTCATTTGCAACAGCAGAAAAAAAAATGTGGAGGTGGTTAGGAGTTTCAAAATGAGTTTTGTTACACTTAAGTATTTTCATGAGGACAAGCAGCCCAAACCAACCTGTTATGCTGATAATAAAGAGCACTGAGAAAGATGTGTTTGCACTTATGATGCACAGGGTGGCTTTTTTTTAAGGGTACAAGAGAAAATACATGAAGCAGGGAACTCTGACACATTCATTTTCCTGCTCATCTAAGAACAACTTCTGAGCAAACAGGCCCACTTTTTTTTTTTTTTCTTTCTGTGACAGACATTGTTGATCTATGGCTATTCTCACATTCTGTGGCTGTTTAGCCATGAGTTTTCACCCCCTGCAGAAAGTAAAATGGATGTTTCATGCCATCTGAAGTCTTTTGCATTATTCAAATTCCTCTTAAGTCTGAAGTACAATTCATCTGTACTGACGTACATTTTAAATACTATTTTGCATGGTCTATGCCATAGGCAGTTTGACTTTTAAACATGATTTCAGCAAAAATATCAAGTCAGCATATGAAACTTCATTTTTTGCAAGATAACCCTCTTCAGTTTTCTATCAGACTTGACTCAGCACTCATAGGTAGCATCCCCAGAAAGCAGAGTATGACTAAACTACTCACCAGATACTTCACTGCTCTTACCCTTTGTCACACAGGAGTCTTTCTAGCAGTTCATCGCTACAGAATTTCTTTTGAATAATAAGTTACAATGTCTGCCTCCTTAGTAAGCTCTGGTGATCTGAGACAGCATCAGGGAAAGGACAAAGACAATATAAGGGGAATGTAATCTTCTCTGGCACACAGCCATGATGGAGTATTCACGTACAAGTAAATCAAGAAGAGATTTCTCTGTGGAAAGACTCTGTTCAGGTCTCTGCACATAGTTCCTTGTGCAAGGACAGCATCAGGGCAATGTATATGTAAATCAAACAGAGACAGTTTGCTAGTGCTTTTCAGAAAGCTAAAAACCCACATAAAGAATCATGGCATTTTGAAAAATGCTTATCATATCTGCATGACCACATATAAAACAGAGCAGAGGGTATATAAATACAATAGAGTAAGATGAAAATAAATGTTCTCACTGTACCTATTTTCATTACAGCATTGGTGGAATCCATCCAGTGCCTCTGTTTTTTAACATATCGAACTCCCTCTAGTCTCACTGTCTGTAAAACAAAAGCATTTTTAGTAAAACTAACAGGATTATTCTTCCTTTAGTTGCAAGTAGTAATACAAAGATGTGTGCACTGCACTAGAAAAAAACACAGCTCCTGGATTCTTCCTTTACAGTTTTTAAGAGGATGGGATAGACCAGAGTCATTCTACTTTCCATTCCTGAGCCTCTGGGAGGCTGCAGTTATTAACTTATGTTAAAAAGCAATAAACATCAAGATGAAGAGCAGTTTAACATAGAAGCACTGTGGTATAAGTAGGACTTATAGCAGGAAATCAGAGTGTCTCCTAAAAGAAATGGCAGAAAAATCTCCCATATACACAGGAAAACAGATCAGAAATCTCAAACTTTCACCCCTCTCCAAACACGATCAGTCGCTATTGCCTTCACTGCACCTTCCACCCAGTGATCCCAAAGTACTGCGTGGGGGGAGGCTCACAATACTTTGCATGAAGGAAGTGTCACCCTTGTTTTTCAGAAAGATTAAAAGGATAACAGGAGCAAATAAAGCAATTTTTAGCTAGGCATTTCACCAGTTGCCCAGAAAATCTTGAAGTTCTGGCATCTCCCATCTTTTGAGTGCTTGGTTTTGAAGCTTAGTTGTATTTGAATATTGTTTTTCAGAGCACAACTTCATAGGTTAAAATAAATAATAGTTCATTAAAATTCTACCAGATAACTGATACGGACACTTGTTCAGAGCAGAAGGGCTGAAATATTTAGATTCAGGCAGAAAACTTGAGTTTGCCCAACTGATCAGAATAACCAAAGCAAAAGCAGTCTGCAGTGGGTCACTGTCAGGAATGGAGAAGAGAGATACTCTGCCAGTGGTTTTCACTGATAACTGCTGACAGCAGAGAAAGCAAAGCTCTGGGAGGAAAGACTTTTCTGACCACACTTTGAACTTAATTTCTTTTCTTTCTTACCTTATATTCATTCTTTCATTCCCTTCCTGCTTTTCTTACCCTGTTTCCAGTACTGATTTTCTGCTACTATGCTTCCCATGCTAGTTCATGTCTCCATGAACAGTTCATACTTTAAGTCCCTCCTATCTCTTTTCTCTGCCCTAAATCTCTGGTTGTTCCAACCCTGTGCATACTTCCCATCTGCAAGGATCCCTGTTCATCTTTCTCCCCAACCACCCGGCCTCTGCTCTCCAGTCCACCCACAGCCATTGTTCCACTCTCTGGTCCTCTCAGGAGTTTCTCCACCCCCATCAGCATCGCTGCCTCCCTGTTCTGCTGCTCTCAATCCCATTAGCCCCATCCCTCTTCCACATGCTCCCAGGCACAGCCAGGTCCTTGTTCATTTGCAGCTCCTCCTTTACCTACTGGCTCCAAAACCTCTCCCTGCTCCATCTTCTCATCTAACTCTCCTTATGGAGCTCATCAATCTTCTTCGCAGGCTGCATTTCCCTGTATTTCCCATTAACCTCTAGTCCAACGCTGTCTGACTTCATCTTCCAGTTTCCCACTGCTTGGGCCAACACAGAGAACAAAGAGAAAAGATAACCATAACTGGGAAGGGTACTTCTGTCCAAGGAAGCATGTGGGGAAGGGATTAAAAAAGGTTCCCTATATCCAATAGGGATTAAAAGTTGAGAATTCTAGTATTTTAATTTTAAAAAACTGAAACAAAGCCAATTGGGCAAAGGAATTATTTGTTTTTGAAGTGTTTTCAAAGTTGCATTTTATTTTGTTTGAATTGAAAAAAAAAGCACAATTTGGTTTCAAAACATCAAAATGGGATTTGATAGTTTGACATTTCAAAAAATCTGTACAATAATATGTAAGCCAAGTTCTTAGTTGAAACCAAGTCTTTTCAGTGAGTTATCTCAGCTGTGATCAAAAACCACCAAACCCAAAAATTAAAAAAAATTCCTAATCAGTTAGAGTAAGGCACCCTGGTTTTGAAGCCTGTCTAGATTTCATATCTAAACCAGCTTACAGCATCTATGGGTATCTTTGCAGTAAAAAACCTGACTCAGTGAGCTGCAAAAAACTCACTGCTATAAGAAAGTTTGGGAAATTTAAAAGCTGGAGTCCAATTTAAACATTTCCAAATTTAATCTTTCCTAGTGACATAACTTTGAGCTAATGCAACCCTTCAACTAAATTTGAATTCCCAGTTCCAAAATAGGAAATTTCCTCATTTCCTAAAGAAAAAAAAACCAAAAACACCACTTTTTTTTTTTTAAACAGTTGAGCCCATTTGCCTGATTTTTCCCATATACAAATATCTGAGGCAGATGGCTGGCAAAGAGATAAGTAGCCTAATGGGAAAATTTAAGGCCAGCTGCAGAAAGACTATATAGTGGAAATTACTGATAAAACTAGAAAGCAAAGCTATCAATGCATACTCCAAAACCCAATCACAGTGTCTCTGAATTCAGGCAGCAGCTATGTGGTTTTAGAACCAATATAGTCAGATAATTCTACTGAGCTAAGGAGGAGAAAATGTGAGAGTTTGGAGCTTTTTCATCAAAATATCTGAATGTTTCATATATTTGAATAGTGCCCCATGAGGAATCTTTAATTAAGGAGAGAAATAGGGACAGGAAGGTCATCTGGCTAGTTTTTGAGCTGAGTTTTTCCTATGAAATGAAACCATGAACTTTTGCATGCTATGATGTCACTGCTTTGTAAGAACAAGGAATTAAACCCTTCTGTTAAAGCACATTTTTCCCAGCACTTATGAGTAATTTACAAGGCCACAGTTCTATTCACACTCCAACCCAAAGGTCCCTGCTGCCTGACTCTAAATGCATTACAGAGGTCTTTCTGTGCTAAGTTTTAAAGGAAAATGTTAGTTACCATCATAAAATGTAATTTTCTGTTCTCACTTTGCAGTGGTATAGGACACCTCACCCCAAGGGTCTTCCTGGACTAACACTGGCAGAAATACAGGGGCAACTCAGAAAATGTGTTTACAGACTGTTTGGGTCACCGAGATGGAGAGTCTCTACCTACCTTTTTACCTCTGATGGCAAACCCCATTCTAAGGGGCCAGCAGAGATGACCACTCCTCTCCCACCAGCTGCCAGGTCAAGGGAAGCATATGTACACCTTTTCCCAGAGCTGAGCAGCAGATACACCTCTAGATTCTCCCTTTTCTGCCTGTTTACCACTCCTCTCCCAACAATTATGCAATCTTTACTCAGTCCTCCTCATGACCCCTACATGCTCCAGCATCGTTCATTCAGCGTTAACAAAACACTGGAGATCTTGACTCTCTAATTCTCTACATTTTGAAGGGGATAAACCTTTTGCACAAAGAGAAGTTTTTTGGTTAGAAGGAAAACAAAGCATATGACCAAATTCCCTTTCATCTTGGGAAAACCCATAAAGTTTGCGTTCTCAGGGCTTGGATTTCTTTGGGGCCTTTTTTTACCAGGAAGAAACAATTTTATAGTTCTCCAGCCTTCAAATGGGAGAAACAGAAACACCTACAACAAGTTCAATGAAAAGATCCTTTCTCTCTGTCCTGGTTTTGGCTGGAATAAAATTAATTTTCTTCTTAATAGTTGGTATAGGGCTGTGTTTTGGATTTAGGATGAGAATAATGTTGATAACACACTGATGTTTTAGTTGTTGCTAAGCAGTGTTTATACCTGTCGTGGTTTAACCCCAGCCAGCAACTAAGCACCACGCAGCCGCTCACTCACTCCCCCCCCATCCAGTGGGATGGGGGAGAAAATCAGGAAAAGAAGTAAAACTCCTGGGTTGAGATAAGAACGATTTAATAGAACAGAAAAGAAGAAACTAATAATGATAATGATAACACTAATAAAATGACAACAGTAGTAATAAAAGGACTGAAATGTACAAATGATGCGCAGGGCAATTGCCCCCCCCCCGCCGACTGACCCCCAGCCAGTCCCCAAGCGGCGAATCCCTGCCCCCCCCCTTCCCAGTTCCTAAACTAGATGGGACGTCCCATGGTATGGAATACACTGTTGGCCAGTTTGGGTCAGGTGCCCTGGCTGGGCATGAGAAGCTGAAAAATCCTTGACTCTAGTCTAAACACTACTGAGCAACAACTGAAAACATCAGTGTTATCAACATTCTTCACATACTGAACTCAAAACATAGCACTGTACCAGCTACTAGGAAGACAGCTAACTACATCCCAGCTGAAACCAGGACAATACTAAGTCAAGAACTTTCCAACTTTTCGTACTGCCCTGCCAGCAGAGGCTGGGAGTGCACAAGAAACTGGGAGGGGACACAGCAATGATAGCTGACCCAAACAAGCCAAAGGCACATTCCATACCGTATCACGTATATAAACTGGGGGGAGTTGGCTGGGGGGGGGCACCACAGCTCAGGGATTGGCTGGGCATCAGTCAGTGGGTGGTGAGCAATTATATCGCGCATCACTTGTTTTGTATATTCTCTTAGTAGTAGCAGTAGTATTTTCCCTTCCTTTTCTGTCCTATTAAACTGTCTATATCTCAACCCACAAGTTTTTTTAATTTATTTTTTCCCCCGATTCTCACCCCCATCTCACAGAGGCAGGGGGGGAGTGAGCGAGCAGCTGTGTGGTGCTTAGTTGCTGATGGGGTTAAACCACAACATCTCAGAAAGAGCTTACTAAGCAACTGTTATGATTAAAAAGCAAGTTCACTATGCTAAGAAACTATATTCTCCAATGATTTGAATATTCACTTTGGACTCAAAAAACATGGCTCAATTCTCTTTACCACAGAATTCCTGTCTCAAGCTAGTCTTAGAGCTATGTTTTTAGTGGTGTCATAAGCAAAAGGACAAAGGTCTTCTGGTTAGTGATGTCCTTTCAAAATTCCACTTGAGATCAATGTATAAACTGACACACAAAGCATTAAAAATATGACACTTCCCTGCAGTTCTGTCTCCTTGTGAGATGGGCTAATAGCATCTCCCTACTTCAGAAAGGTAGCTGTGAGGATAAAGAGAGGAAAAACTGTGAAGAATATGACACTTCAGTAAGGCAGACCATCAACCCACACACCAAATCCTAGGTGAACCTTGCATTCTGAGGCAGAGTGCAAACAATAAGAAAGCAATGTATAAAGAGCTGAGATTTTGCCTGTAAAAGGAGAGGATTTCACTGAAAGAGGTAAAGAAAGAAGGTTGCTGCTTTTTATTGGGAAATACTAGATCTGACAAGAAACTAGACTCTAAACTCCTTGAGATATGGCATCTTTTCATTTGCCTGTACACATTGTCTTGCATATAAGGGATCTACTCTCTGCTCTACACTATGATACTACAAATAGAAATTAATATAACTCCATTAACATTTAAGTAGTTACTCCTGGTCTACACTGATGACTGAGCTCATTTTTCCTGAAATTCAGTTCTCAGATTAAAATGCTAATTTTTGCTAGGACTAACAACATGCTTAGCTAACTTGGGAACCCCGTATGTAATATCTGTATTGATGCTCTTGAAGACCATTTGTTCAAGACTAAATAGAGGCAAATTCCAGCTGATCTGCCTTTTGCAGAATCAGAAACTTTAACAAAGGCCGCACATCCAGTTTATCTAACAGATTTATGATCGATCTTGAAATTAGTTCTGTAAAAATTCAACAATTCCACTTCTATATTTAGGAGATCTCAGATGACCCCACAGAACAATGACCAACTTTGACTATTACATGAGGGAGGAAAGGTATACAATAATCAATTGTATGTTTAATGAAATACAAAACTCCTACTGAGCTGATATATTATGAGTGAAATTGAATATAATAAAAAATATTGCTTTCATAAATGAGTGCTTTGTGAATGCTCCAGGGGTACAGACGTTGCACAACACCTAATGCGACACAGCCTTCCTCTAAAGGCAAGATTATGCTCATTCAGAAAAAGCAGGGCTGAACTGACTTCACAGTTAAAACTCACAGTCCTCAGGCCTAAAATTTTCTGAAGCTTCTAAAAACTGTTTTAATTCTTTTAATTCATTTTTATTGCCTATATATGATTACTCTCAAATCTCAGAACTGAAAGGGGAGGAGAGAAGCTGCTTTACTGTTCCCTAGGCCTGAAAGCAGCTAACCAATCATTTCATAAGATACTCAGACCTTGCATGACTTCCATGCAACAGAAACCGAAGTATGACGAAGATAAGCACTCGGGCTTGTCAATGAAATCCTTCAGCATTTTCAAAGATATCTCAACCTTGGCAAAGGAACTGGCTTTCAATTTCTGGCAACCCACCTCATCAACAGCTAAAGCTATCAGAATTTAGATGTGAAACAATTGTCATTCAGAGCAGCCAAAGAACCAGAATAACAAAAGTGAAAAACAGGACGAGAGCAAAGTCAAAACAGTGTTTAAATACAAAGCAATGCAGTCTGAATAAAGCTCATAACAACACAGGAGATGGTTAGGAAAAAGCAAAGATCTCTCAGCTTCCTGGAGTTGTAACACCTGGAATCACGAGAGACAGGATGCCTACGTGAATGCTGGGTCATCAGTTGGGGAGCTTGGGATGCTGTTCGTCTCACGACAGGAAGAGGGGAATGATCTCTAATGCCAAAGCAGGATGTGGTTTTGCAGCAGGGTTCGAGTCTGTAGAGAAAGATGGAATCACTTGGCAGCAGCGGTGCAATAGCACCTGTCTCCTTCCCAGCTCCCCATATGCCAAACATGTCTGGCACAAAAATACAAAGCATGAGAAAAACAGCACTGCTGTCCTGGCAATGGATTAAGAGCTCACGCCATAGCAGGCAAACCTGAGGGAAGAAGTTAAACAGCAACACTTTCAAAAGCATAATGCCAGTTTATAATTAGAACACAACCATCTTGTAAAAAGATCACTAGGCATTTTGTTCATCCCACCCAAGAGTTTATTTAGGCCATTCTAGGTAGCAGGTCTTATTTCTACTCTCTCTCTCCAGGACAGGTGTGAAGTTTTCAATTTGCAGATTAGTACCAGTTTGCTGAATGTGTGACTTTTACTTCAGCAGCTTGCTCAGCTTATATAGCTCCAAAGTGAGGCTTTGCATTTCCTGATGGCCCTATAAACCACTTTTAGACCAAAGCCTGCATTCTCTGGAGAACAAAACAAGACATAGGAAGTTGGTATGAAGTGGACTGTGTTAACTAAACATTCAGGAGGGGGGCATACTGCTGTGTAATAGGCTATAATTACAGTAACACATTGGTAATTTATTGCCATGCAGGTGTGGAAGCATTTTAAAAACTAGCTAAAAAAAAAAGAATTTGAGGTAAGAGGACTTTTTTCCAATAATTATTCCCCTTTTTCAACTTGTTCAACTTCAAGGCCTAAACAAGTACAACATGCCCTTCCTACAACTTTACTGGTTGAACTACCAAAGCCACATTTAAACATTTATGAAGTCCAAGACAAAGGGCAAAACCTGTCACACCCCATCCCACCATCAAAATTTGCAGTTAGATTTCACAAATGTAGTGAAATGTAACAGCAGCAACAGGTTTTCCCATGCCAGTGGGCTAGCTCTGGCTACATGCACTGTTCCTGCAGGCATCCGCCAATGCAGTTTGAGTACAAAAGTATGGACTACTGGGACTGAAGCAAAGAGTCTTAGATTTCAAAGACTAGATCCTATGTCAGGATGAATGTCACAATTCATTTACACACAATATCAAAAAAGAATGATCTCTCTCTGTCTCAAGAAAATACACTTAAAATCTCATCTGAGATTCTTATTCCTAGAATGAAATCACTACTATATGCTTATGTACTCTTGACAGGAAATCCAGAGCAACTAACTCATTAAGCCTCTTCCTGATAAAGGGAATTACTTGTTGCACCCTTACTCAGTATTGTGAAGTTTTACACTTTTCCTACTACTAAATAAATATACTGAGCTTGTGTTAAATTTTTTCATTTGAGTTTGGTACAGATTTCATTCAGAAGGTAAAACAGCAGTATAGCTTGAGTATATCTTGAGGTCCCCATCAGAAAGAAAATACGTGCTGTTGGATTCCCCCACATCCATTTAAAGACAGAATAAGGCTTTTCCTCTGCAGGAGATAATATATGTCAATAACAACTGGTCTTACCTGCCATCTGTAAGCTTAAACCAGTATCCAGTTTGCTGCGTGGCTTCGTGCTGATAAACAAATAACAGAGAACACACACAGTGATGATAAAAGCAAAGAGGACCACTGCTGCTATCGACAGGCCCACAAGTGCTCCAACACTAAGAAAGAAAAACAAAGAAATTAAGTGTACAAACAGCCTGGGATACCCATTAAAACAATGGTCAGGATGATGTCTGGAGGTTACTCAGGTGGGGGAGTGACTGTGTATTTTACTGTAAACAAAAGCTTAGAGCTCAATACGTAAGTTGCATAAACTGGAATTATTTCATTGCCCTCAGAAGGGTCAATGTCATTACACAGCAGTTGAACACCTGGCCCTCGATGACATTTCATGTTACCTATGCATACTGCTCCTGAGTCTGATTTAAACTGTGTTTATGAAAATCAGAAATAACTTCATGCAGTGACTGTCATCGGTGAGATCAAAAACTTCTCCAGTGCAGTGCATATTCCCCGATATGCATAATCTCACATAAATACCACATGCACACACAAAGAGGGATTCCAGAGCTCCAGGCAGTCCATGCAAACTCGTTTTTCTCAAACAACATGACTATTAAAGCTATATTTTCAGCCTGAAATGCCATTTTTATTGCAAGAAGAGCCTGTGAGAGCACTTTAAGCAAAGTACACATTTGTCACAGACTTCTCACCAAGGATGACATGCCCATAAAAAGTAGGAGGAAAAACATGCAAGCCGTGTTATTCAATTCTGTTAGCAGCTCTGTAGAGCAGGGTGGAGTACTATGATCACTGCTGTGCCCTTGTGTTAATGTCAAAAAATCTCCAGTCAAGACTGGAAAAGTTCTTCCATGATCTTTGTCAGGGTAAAAAGAAAACTAAAGATGAGTTAACTTACGCACAATATAACAGGCATCAAAGGAGCAGGAACTTAATTATTCAGGAGGCCAAACATACAGTAGTATATGCAGATTTCATGAAGATACTACTTCTGCAGGGTAGAAGCTACTTATACTTCTTCCATAGACATTCAGTGAGACAGTGTATGTATATACAGAAATCTCTTTAGTAGTTTCCTTATTTCCCATCCTTCTTTTCAAGTATTTTCCTAATATAAAATTCTCATGATGAAATAAAGGACCAATTGCAACACAGTCTAGCTATCATTTACTATCCTCTCCTAAGCCATTTGATGCCTTCAGTGTTCCAGTCCTCTATTCTACAGTCCAAGCCAAAGACACCAACTTCTAGTGAAATTAAACGGCAGCCTTTTGGTCACAGATTAAGAGAGTCCGAGGATTGAGAAACCTTATATTACTACTCTGGTATATTTACAGTTTTGACAGATGTAAAAAGGACAGAAGAGAGATGAATGTCTTAAATTCTATGAACTCCATCCTTTAGTGATAAAAATGCCTTTATATATCACCACTATCAGCGAGAAGTCAATTCTACTGTGGCCTTGCAGGGAGATGAGAAGAGTTGTGCCTCAGGATGTTTTTATGAATTTTACATTCAAGCTATTGCAAAGCTTCTCTACAAGCTCCCATAACCCCAGTAGACAGATATGTCCACAGGAGAAACTCTTAAAAACTCAGCAGGATGAGAATAGCAGATATTGGCATGACTTTAAGATGCAGTTCTCATTAGTTATCAGTCAGATCCATTAATGAAGTTTGTGGAACACTTAGCTCCACGCACAACTAAAATAATAATTATGCTGATAATAAATTGGTTCTGGAAAGAATAGCTTTACCCTTACAAAGATTTTTCATGGTATTTATCATCTGCATGAACTAGAGTGTCCTTACATGTTTGTGTATATATGCACGTATTAAGCAAATTTTTCCTTGTTGTTTTTTGGCCCAAACAAAACTTACAGGCAAGGAATATTCTGCTTAATATGGAATCTGAATACGTCCTTACAGTCAGAGATCTAACCTGGGTTCTGGCCTCATTTTTGCATTTTCACTTGGAACACCTTGATCCGAATGGACAAAACAGAAGAAATACACTACCCTACAGGAGGCTGAGGTGAGCAGCCACTGAACCAAGAATTATCTCCACAGCTGAATCTATTTGAGGAAGCAATACAAACCCAAAGGCTCTTCAGAAACAGGTATTTGTGCTTTTTTGTCATGTCAATACTAGTCCTATTTTAAGATTCCATTTAAGTAACAGTCTGCAGTGCTCACCATTATGCAAACATTAAGCAGAGTCAGCTGTCCTAAAGCTGAATAGATCAAGTACAAATTAATGATTACACGTTTTTCTATTTGGGCATCTATTACTTCTCAGTTGTAGCTCTCCTTCATTCGATTGTAGATGACAACGTTAACAATACAGTTGTGTATTGTACAGCACAACGCATCTTCAGTATCACTACATAACTTGTCTAAGATGCTTTGTGAGTTACAAATGGCAAAAGTAAGAAAAGCAATTCCTGAGGAATTCTCCAGTATTTCCTACTACAGGTCAAAGACTTATCATAGGTTACATGCCACTAGAAGTGTTTGCCATGGTCCAGCAGCAACGTGAAAAGATCTCACCCAAAACATGGAGATCAGCATCACAAAGCTAAATAGACACCCTGGATTCCACTTCCTAAATCAATCAGAAACTAAGATTCAGTTTGTACTTACTCTTTTTAAACATAATGTTTCAATACCAGATTGTTCTCAATGTCCTGAAGCCATCAACCCTCTTAGAATGTATGATTAATTTCTTTAAGGTTAATTTTGCATTAAAGTTTGGGGGTAGGGAGTTGCTTCTTAATTTATTGAATTAATTCAGAGGAATTTAGTATGCCTTCTACAGCTCTGAACACTGAAGTTTCTTAACCAGAACACAATCTTTTATTTCTTTTTTTTAATAGTTGAAACTGTTATCAGAAACAAAATACCAAAATAACTATGATTATTGATCATTTTAATGATCTCCCTGCTCTGAAAGTAAAGACAGCCCTTCAACATGTCCTCTAGTTTCTACAGCAATTACTGTGGTGCTGCATATCCATCTGGAAAAGCCCTTGCTAAAAACATTTTGCCATCTTCCCTTCCTTACCTTAAACACTACCTGTTTAAAGTCCACCCAGCAGTCCACATGGTAACAGTCCACAGGACTCAGGGTGTGTCTTCAAGGTCAGTCTTCTGATAGCAGAGACATTAAACAAGCAAACTAAAAAGTCACTCTTGCCCACAGCTGTGGCCTCATTAGCAAGTGAAAACCTCTGCACTAACAACCCACCCCCAAAACGATGATCTAGCATAAAAACAGCAATGAAGGCCTAGGGGTAACCCTGGCAGCATTTGCGCAATTCTTCGAACATGAGCAATGTTAAGTTTGGAGGAAGATCCACAGACCAAACAGAACTCTCCCAAGTTACTTTCTACATACAATAAAGATACAGCCGTGCCACACATTTCACTGACCCTCCTACTGCTATTACACTGAGTGTCTCACACACACACTTGCAGCACTGCCACGCATCTCTACGCAGCCAAGGGCTTTACTGAGCAGAGAGGCTCCACTCTCAGCAGACTCCCCAGGGCTCCCCAAGCTGCTGTCCAGAGAGCTGCTTAGTGGGTCACCGACATTTCTGTGAGTGCATGCTCAGCTATCTTCAGTCTTATCTTCAGTCCATAAAATTAGTCCATCCGCACCAACAACAGCTAGGAAAAATTTAAATACTGGCTAAGCAGATGCAGCATGCCCACTGACAGAGTAAAAAGAAGCTCACTCATGAGTCATCCGGATCCAAGTGAATCAAATGTTCCTAATGCCATTGCTGCAGGGATATGTTGTACATTGTAATTGCAAAGCAAACAGATAAACATTCCCAGAAGATTGGAAGAATGGGCATATAGGAACAAAAGACTTGCTATTTTGGAAAGCCAAAACAGTCTCCTGGAGATCTGTACAGCTAAGCAAAGCTTGGCTACAGCATTAGGTCACCATGGTTCTATGGCGATTAATTAATAAAGCCTTTTGAGTAAAATCTATATTTGGCCTGCCAGAGTTTTAATCAAATACATATTACATGAAATTTATAAAAGGTACAGATTTGGAATGGATACTGTAATTCTATTTGATACTGAAAGAAGCCATTAAATTTGCAAAATAAAACTTAATTGAACAGTGACAAAAATAATTCTAAAATACTTTAAAACAATTAGAAACAAAGAAGGTGCTGACTGAACCTAACAGCATCACAGTTCAGTACAAATAATACATGTTCAGCATTTCTCCCCTTCCGTTCAGCTTTGGAGGTAAAGCAGGTGTCATGATGACTGCATGTGCATGCACAGCCCATGGCTCTGAAGGGTGAGCTGTTCAGTGTTTTGCTCACTAGTGTTTTATGGCATCTTGTTTTGTGGTTTCAAAAGCTGCATAACCTTCTGGTGGATTTTGTACACCCTTGCCTTTTACTAACATTACCTTCCCTGTTCCATGGGCTCCTGACTGCTATAAGAGATAGAAAATGCACATCCTTCACTCTTCGTTAATGAGGTCAGCTTTTCAAGAAATATAGAAAAGGAACCTAGGCTGCTCTAACAAAAAAAAAAGATACTATACTATTTGATCTTAAGTACCAGCAAAAAAAGAAAGGATAAGTAAGAAATTAATAATCTGAATTACAGATAATAAATTCAGGTCAAAGTAGGAAATGTGTCAGAGTTGCTCAAAGGTCAATTATTTATGATTGTCCAGCAGCTCCTAGTACAGCGGGTTAGGGTGCACTTGTCAAATACTGCAGTTTTTGCAGGAGTGGGAGGGGAAAAGATGGTTCCATTTTCCGAAGGGATAGTGCAGTATATAGCTCTAAACATAGTACAGTCAGTAATGATTTGGCAAAAAAAGAATAGCATAGGCCTGCAAGTGACTATTGCTTCAGGTTGCCTAGGCTGCTGGTTTCTCCATGAACTGCTTCCGTCAGAGCTGGCTGCCAATTGGTCTAGCAACGTGTCCCACAGCAGGAAAAACACAAGAGAAATATGCAATAGCTTCCTGAAATTCTACCTGCTGTGTCAGCAAACAGAAGTAATCCCTGAGATGCCACCAACCACTTGTTGGTGCATTCAGTCACTGCTTTCAAATTATTGGGGGGAGTCAAGTAAACAAAGATTCAGGATGAGAAACTTAAAGCTCTGGAATAAAGCAAAACCTGCAACAATTCCCCCATCAGAGCTTCCAACTCCTTTCCCTTCCTCAGTATGTTCAATCTCCAGACTTAGCTGGTTTGGCTGACTCTTGTATAGTTTTAAGTCTTAAGGGTTTTCAAGTCTTAAAAGCGTGTCCTCAAAAGCTGTAAGAAGCTTTTGAAGGATTATTTTAACATATGGTTGTTACATACTGATACAAGTAACGGTCTGAGACAAAGACAAGCAAGGAGATGATCACCAAAACATTCTAAGAGACCAGAAAAATGTTACTTTTATGTTTACCTTAAACTCCTAATGGAACTATCATGTGCAAATGTATACAGTTTTCAAAGTGCTGTAATACTGTAGGGTTCCCAGTATGCTAGTAACTAAAAATTGTGATTTGATTTGTTACTGGAAAACACTTCTGAAAACAGAATTTTGAATTCAGTTTCAAGTAACATTGCTTAGAGAGGTAAATTGTATTTATTCACCTCTTCTCTACAATGGATATAGACAGTTATGGCAGAAGTTAAGCCCAACCAAAACCCCACCAATTGCAATTTGCTCAGATCCTTTCAGCAGCCTAGGGCCATTGTAAAGAGGGGAAAAAAAACAAACAAAAAAACCCAAAAAAACCCCCAAATCCTGAAGTTTCAAAGTTTTGACCCAAATTTCTGACTTAGGTGGAGGCTAAACAGTCACACTTCTCAGACCCTAGAAAATCTTTGTAAAGGAAGATCCTTCAGAGAGATGCCTCATTAAAGCCTCTCATGAGATCCTGTTCTTTGAGGTACTTTCTGAAAAGATCAAGCTTTAACAGCCTTCACTACATCTCATCCAGATGCAAGAGCAAAACTTTATCTTAATCTTTCAGTAGTTCTGCCATCTTGAGAAGGCTTCCTGTGACTGAAACAGTCAAAGACTATGCAAAAATATCATATAACATTAAAACAGTATGTGTATTTGATGAGAAAAGTGTGAAAAAGGACACTTGGAGATGTCTTCTCGTATCAGTGTCTCCCACTGTGTAATTCTGTGTCAGTCACAGCTGCGGATGGCTGGGAGATTCCCACATTCAACCCACTATTTGTACCAGACAAAGTAGATTTTAAATAATTATACACTAAATATTAGACAAGATAAATTAAGTGAGAGTAAGCCCATAGTACTGGGTAGCATTCACTCATGAGCCCTGAAGGAATTCATATGTGAAATCACAAAACTGCTGGGCAAGGCGTGCAACCCATCAATACATAAGTCGGCTCTGCCAGAGGACTGGTAGCCTGGGAATGTAACTCCAACCTGAAAGAGGGCTCTAGAGGAGAACCTAGGAACTACAGACTAGTAAATCTGACCTCCATCCCTGGCAAGACAGAAAGGTCTGTAAAAAAAGGAATAATATCACTAAGCCAAGAGACAAACACAATGCCAGGATGCTGAGCGCATCTGGGTTGCACAGGGTTGCATCTGACTGGCTATTATCCCCAAGCCACAGCGCCCAGGCCTGCCCCGCTCACCTTACCTGGATACAAGGGACAGGTCCTTTGACGGTGAAGCCACCACCACCATCCACCTCGTTACCACACTCTGCCCTCAGGAAGCTGCTGGCACTTGCTGCTTCCCAACATAAAATCTTTCACTAAAGAGTCTGCATTACTATGAGGGGAAAATACTGCCTTGTTAACCTGCTGGAGTCTATGAAGTGTCAATAAGCAGATGGATAAAGGAACCCAGTGGCCAGAGTTAGATTTTTCAAAAAGCCTTTGACAAAGACCCACACTGAAGGTGGGACTAAAAAGAGTGAACTGACACAGGATTAGGGAAAAGGTTCTGTTACAGATTCAAGGCTGCTTAAAAGAATAAGGAGCAAAGCACAGAGATAACTGGTCTCTTTTCAGTACAAAGAAAAGTCACCATAAATCAGTGCTGAGACTGATTTTACTCAGTGTCTTCATCTATAACCTGGAGAAGAATGAAATCTGAGTTTCTGATGATCCTAAACAAGTGATCATATGGTATGAGGGCAAGGAATGCTAGAAGACTTGTGGAAAACTGAGTGAGCAGGCAAAAGTGATGTAGATGAGCTTCAATGTATACTAATGTAATGTATAAACAAACAAAACCAAGGCTACATGACAATGAACTCAGAACTGGCAGTTCTGAACTCAAGAAAAGTTTTAGAGTCATCAGTGATAGCTCACTGAAATTACAGAGTCAATGTGCACCAGCAGCCAAAGACATTAACAAAACGTTGGCCACCAACAGGAAGGATTTTGAGAGCAAGACTGAAGGCAGCATTTTGTCACTGTGTAAAATCTTCCCATACCCAAATCTTGAGCACGCAGCTCCAGATTATGCACCTCTACGGGCAGGGCTGTGGAGTGAAAAACGGTATGGATGAGATGCAACTAAAATGATCAGAGGGACATAGGATCTGCCTTGATGATAATCCAAAAGGACTAAGACTGTTCAGTTTCACCTCAGGAGAGGTGAAAGCTGAGAACTGACGCACCAAACACAAAATTTTGAACATTGTGCATAAACTGAACATGCAACTGTTGTTCACCAAATCTCCCAATACTAATACCAGAGGGCACTCCAGAAAACCAGTAGGAAACAATATAAAAGAGATAAAAGGATGTATCTTCAAACAGTACAAGCAAGTCCATAAAATAGTAAGATAACAAGTCCATAAAAAGCTAGTGAAAGCACCATACAGAGGTGTACTAACACCCTAACACCGCGTGGATGCTGAAGAGCCTGAGGGGAACCAGGCACAGAAAGCAGCCAGGCTGGCTGTGTGCAGCAGTGACTGAGCTGCTGGAGATCCAGTCAGAGCCAGGTGGACCCTCGCACTGACCCAGGACAGCCCAAGTCTAATTATCTGCCATCTTCCGAGTGAAAAGTTATGTAGTGCTTGACCTTACTACACACAGAAAAGTAGCTAAAGTCGTTGGGAACTTTATGCACGCAGCATCTTACACGCTCAGGCCCCGAGACAGTTGTTCCCCTCGCACTACAAGGACGGAGGGACACTCTGGATGCTCTGTGCACAGGCACTGAGCGTTTCCCAGTGCTTCCTTACGAAGACCACGAGGTATTTCTTTCAGAAACCACCCTGGCAGAAGCAGAAGTCTCTCTGGGCAGCAGCTGCAGCTCTACCGCTACTCTGAGCGGGACAAAGGCAGCCTGAAAGCGCCCGGCTACAAGTACCTCAGAAACGCAAACCCAGAGGGAAGCTCGGGCGAACACGGCTCTCCCGTCCCGCGGGGCCGCCGAGACTCGCCCGCCCGGAGCCTCCCCACCGCCCGCCATGCGGGATCGGGACCGTGCCGGGGCAGGGCGGGTGCGGCCGCCGCTCCCCTACCTGAGCCACCACATGTAGCTGTGCTCGTAGGGGAAGAAGCTGTGGGGGTCATCGCAGCAGTACTTGACGTCCTGGAAGCCGCAGCAGTACACGGCGCCGGCGTCGCCGCCCGTCCGCGGGCAGCTGAACCCGCTCACCAGCACCTTGTCGGCGTTGAGGTAGCTGCTGCACTCGGCGCTCATGGTGCGGCGGCCGCCCGCCGGGCTGCCCGGCGCCTCGGCTCCGGCGGCACCCGGGC